ACGGAGCAAAGGGGGGGGGTCCCCCCCCTAAGCTACACTCCCCCCTCCCATGAGCCACCCCCTGCTGGAAGCTACCCCTCCCCCTCCCTGTTTCGCCCGCCCCTGGAAGCTACCCCCCCTTCCCCCTCTTTCGGCGGTTGGAAGCTACCCCCCCCACCTTTCCAAAGGGGGGGGGGGCTTAGCTACCCCCCCCCTTGGCCCCCCTCTGCCAGGAGCCCCCCCCTCCCTCCCTGTTTTGTCCCCCCCCCGGAAGCTCCACCCCCCCTCCCCCCCTTTTGCCCCTCCGGAAGCTCCTCCCCCTCCCCCACTTAGGGAGGAGAGCTTAGCTACCCCCCCCCCTTTGAACCCCCCTGCTGGAAGCTACCACCCCCTCCCTTGAACTCCCCCTGCCGGACGATCCTCCCCCGTCGCCGTCGTCGTTGCCGTCGCCGTCGCTCGGCGTCTTCGTACGACGCCGTCGTCGTCCTCGTCGTTGTTGTCGCCGCCGTCGCCGTCATTGTCGCCATCTTCGCATGACCTCGTCGTGGTCGTCACGACGAGGACGAGGTCATACGAAGACAGCGACGGACGACGGACGACAGACGACGCGCGACCGACGACGACGACGACCCAGGGTCAGAGAAAACGAGACCACGACCCAGGGGCTGAGAAAACCAGGAAACGAAGCAGAGTCCGAGCAAACGAGACCACGGCCCAGGGGCCGAGAAAACGAACCAGGGTCCAACAAAAACGAAACAGGGTCCGAGAAAACGCGACCACGACCCAGCGGCAGAGAAAACGCGAAAACGAACCAGGGTCCGCCCAACGAGACCACGACCCAGGGGCCGACAAAACGAGACAACGATTAAACAAACCAGTGCCCGAGAAAACGAAACCACGACCCAGGGGCCGAGAAAATGAGACAGCGAGAAAACGAACCAGGGCCCGAGAAAGCGAGATCACAACCCAAGGGCCGAGAAAACGAGAAAACGAACCAGGGCCAGAGAAAACAAAACAAACACCCAGAAGCCAAGAAAACAAGAAAACGAGACAATGAACCAGGGTCCGAGAAAACACGATAACGACCTAGGGGCCGAGAACACGAGAAATCAATAAAACAATCCAGGGTCCGAGCAAACGAGACCACGACCCAGGCCGAGAAAACGCGAATAGTGGTCCTAGAAAGCGAGACCACGACCCAGGGGCCGAGAAAACGAGAAAACGAAAAAAGGAATCAGGGCCCGAGAAAGGGAGACTACGAACCAGGGGCCGAGAAAACGAGGCAACGAGAAAAACAAACCAGCGTCCGAGAAAACGAACACCGCGACCCAGGGGCCGAGAAAACGAGAAGACGAGAAAACGAACCAGGGTTCGAGAAAACTGGACCACGACCCAGGCGCCGAGAAAACAAGAAACGAGAACACGAACCAGGGCCAAGGAAAACGAGACCACGACCCAGGGGCCGAGAAAACGAGAAAACGAACCAGGGTCAGAAAAAACGAAACCATGACCCAGGGAAGACAAAAACAAGAAAACAAGAAAACGAGCCATGGCCCGAGAAAACCAAACCACGACCCAGGGCCCGAGAAAGCGAGAAAACGAACCAGGGTAAAAAAAAACAATCACGACCCAGGAGCAGAGAAAACAAGAAAACGAGAAAACGAAACGGGGTCCGAGAAAACGAGACCACGACCAAGGGGCAGACAGGGTCCGAGCAAACGAGACCACGATAAAACAATCCAGAGTCCGAGCCAGGGGCCGAGAAAACAAGAAAACGAGAAAACGAACCAGGGTCCGAGAACAAAAAAAAACACGACCCAGGGGACGATAACAACAGAAAACAAGGCAACGAATCAGGATCAAAGAAACAAGACCACGACCCAGGGGCCGACAAAACAAGAAAACAAGACAACGGACCAGGGGCCGAGAAAACGAGACAACAACCCAGGGGCCGAGACAATGAGAAAACGAGAAAACGAACCAGGGCCCGAGAAAACGAATCCACGACCCAGGGGCCAAGAAAACGAGAAGTTGAAAAAAGGAATCAGGGCCCGAGAAAACGAGAAAACGAGAACGCGTACAAAGATCAGAGAACACGAGACCGCGACCCAGGGGCCGAGAAAACGAGGCAACGAGAAAACAAACCAGCATCCGAGAAACGAAACCGCGACCCAGGGGCCGAGAAAACGAGAAGACGAGAAAACGAACCAGGGTTCGAGAAAACTGGACCACGACCCAGGCGCCGAGAAAACAGGAAACGAGAACACGAACCAGGGCCAGAGAAAACGAGACCACGACCCAGGGGCAGAGAAAACGAGAAAACAAGAAAACGAGCCATGGCCCGAGAAAACCAAACCACGACCCAGGCGCCGAGAAACCGAGAAAACGAACCAGGGTCAAAAAAAAAGCCACGACCCCGGAGCCGAGAAAACAAGAAAACGAGAACACGGAACGGGGTCCGAGAAAACGAGACCACGACCAAGGGGCAGACAGAATGCGAAAACGATAAAACAATCCAGGGTCCGAGCCAGGGGCCGAGAAAACAAGAAAACGAGAAAACGAACCAGGGTCCGAGAACAACAGAAAACAAGGCAACGAATTAGGATCAAAGAAACAAGACCACGACCCAGGGGCCGACAAAACAAGAAAACACGACAACGGACCAGGGGCCGAGAAAACGAGACAACGACCCAGGGGCCGAGACAAAGAGAAAACGAGAAAACGAACTTGGGCCCGAGAAAACGAGACAACAACCCGAGGGCCGAGAAAACGAGAAGCCGAGACAACAAACCAGGGTCAGAGAAAACAAAACCACAAACCAGGGGCCGAGATACGGAGAAAGCGAGAAACCGAACCAGGGTCAGAGAAAAGGAGACCACGACCCAGGGGCCGAGAAAACAAAACGAACCAGGGTCAGAGAAAACGAGACCACGACCCAGGGGCCGAGCACACGAGAAAACAAGGAAATTAACAAGAGTCCGAGGTACATTGACACCACGACCCATGGCCGATAAAACAAGAAAATGAGATCACGAACCAGGGCCCGAAAAAGCAACACGAAAAAACAAAAGCCGAGAAAGCGAGAAAACAAAACAACGAACCAGGGCCCGAGAAAGCGAGATCACAACCCAGGGGCCGAGAACACGAGAAACCGAGAAAACCAAACCAAAGTCCGAGCAAACGAGACCACGACCCAAGAGCACAGAAAACGCGAAAACGAACCAGGGCCCGAGAAAACACGACCACGACACAAGGGCCGAGAAAACGAGAAAACGATAAACGGAATTAGGGCCCGAGAAAACGAGACTACGAACCAGGCCCCGAGAACACAAGAAAACGAAACAACGAGCCGGAACAGAGAGAACAACACCACGACCCAGGGGCCTAGAACAAAAACAACGAGAAAACTAACCAAGCCCCGAGAAAACGAGACCACGACCCAGGAACCGAGGAAATGAGAAAACGCGAAACCGACCCTCGACCCAGGGGCCGCGAAAACGAGAAACCGAAGCAGGGTCCGAGACAATTGGACCACGATCCAGGCGCCGAGAAAACGAGAAAACAAGAACGCGAACCAGGATCAGAGAAAACGAGACCGCGACCCAGGAGCCGAAAACACGAGAAAACAAGAAAACAAGAAAACGAGAACACAAGAGAACGAAACAGGGCCCGAGAAAACGAGACTACGAACCAGGGGCCGAGAAAACAAGAAATCAAGAAAACGAGCCAGGGGTCGACGATATTCTCCAATTCGTTCTCTAGCGCTGCGGTGCGCACCTGTCGTCAAGAATTCCGCCACTTTGCCAGAGCCCCCGAAGGGAGTGGGGGGGAGGTAGCTTCAGACCCCCCCACAAATTTGCACAGGGGGGGGGTATAGCTTGAAGCCGCCCCCCCCGTGTCCAAACCGAAAAAGGAAGGAGGAGGGGAGGTAGCTTCCGAAGCCCCCCCCCACTTTGAAAGGTAAGCCCGGGCTCACCTTCTGCTCAAAAAAAGGGAGGGAGGGGGGGTAGCTTCGAAGCCCCCCCCCCCCCTTGAGCCAGAGCCCCCCCAGCTTAGAAAGCCTTACGAAAAGGGAGGGGGGGCGGTAGTTTCGGAAGCTCCCCCCCCTCTTTTGGAAGGGGGGGGTTAGATTGAAGCTGAAAGCCCCCTTTTCTTATTCCGGTCGCGACGGGCGCGCTCTCTCATACATAGTAGTAGTAGTAGTAGTAGTAGTAGTAGTAGTAGTAGTAGTAGTAGTAGTAGTAGTAGTAGTAATAGTAGTAGTAGTAGTAGTAGTAGTAGTAGTTGTTGTTGTAGTAGTCGTAGTAATAGTAAATGTAGTAGTGAAGTAGTAGTAGTAGTCATCGTCGTCGTCGTAGTAGTCGTATTAGTAGTAGTAGTAGTAGTAGTAGTAGTAGTAGTAGTAGTAGTAGTAGTAGTAGTAGTAGTAGTAGTAGTAGTAATAGTAGTAGTAGTAGTAGTCGTAGTCGTAGTAGTAGTAGTAGTAGTCGTAGTAGTAGTAGTAGTAGTAGTAGGTAGGTAGGTCGGTAGGTATGTAGGTAGGTAGGTACGCCGGTCGGTTGTAGTAGGTAGTAGTAATTAGTAGGTCGTAGTAGGTCGTAGTAGGTCGTAGTAGGTCGTAGTAGTAGTAGTAGTAGTAGTAGTAGTAGTAGTAGTAGTAGTAGTAGTCGTCAGAGTCGCAGCAGTAGTAGTAGTATAGTAGTAGTAGTAGTAGTAGTAGTAGTAGTAGTAGTCGTAGTAGTAGTAGTAGTAGTAGTAGTAGTAGTAGCAGTAGTAGTAGTAGTAGTAGTAGTAGTAGTAGTAGTAGCCGTAGTAGTAGTAGTAGTAGTAGTTAGTAGTAGTAGTAGTAGTAGTAGTAGTAGTAGTAGTAGTAGTAGTCGTAGTAGTAGTAGTAGTAGTAGTAGAGTAGTGGTAGCGGTAGTGGGGAGAGAAGGAGGAGGGGAGGAGGAGGAGGAGGAGGAGGGAGAGCGTGCATTGAGCCGGAGCACGAGGTGCAGCAGGAGCCGCGCACGAGCCCGCCGCTAGGAGGCCTGCGGGCACGCCAAAGCCGCCGAAGCGAATTGCTGGGAGGGGTGGGTCGGAGGGGGCGACCCCCGCCGCGCCTGCGAGCTTCGGCCCCTGCTCCTCTTCCTCGTCCCTCGAACTGGTAGTTACCCTGCTCCTCCTCCTCCTGCTCTTTTCCCTGCTCCTCTTCCTCCTCCTCCTCCTCTTCCTCCTCCTCCTCCTCCTCCTCCAACTCCTCCGTTTCCTCTCCTCCTCTTCCTGGTTCTTGAACTCCTTCTGTTCTCCCTCCTCCTTCTTCTCCTCCTCCTCCTTGTTCCTCCTCCTCCCCCCGCCCTCCTCCTCGTCCTCCTCCTCCTCCCCCGCCTCCTCCTCCTACCTCGGTCCCCCTCCTCCTCCTCCTCATCATCGTCCTCCTCCTCTTCTCCTCCCCCTCCTCTTCTTCCCCCCGTCCTTCTCTTGTTCGCCCTCTGGTGGCCTTGTTCAATATTTCCCTCTCCCTCTCTCTCTCTGCCTTTCTCCCCCTTACCCTCTCTCCAGCGCACGATCCTGCCCCCTCCATATCGCACCCCTCTTCTCCAGCAACACTTGGCGCTAGGCCGCGCCCGTCAAATCACACACCTGCACGGGAACGAAGCAGACAACGAACGAGTGAGAGAGTTGCCACTGCTGCGCCTGAGGCTGAGATCCACGCCACGAGTGCCAACGTTGGTTGCTCTACGCACCAGGCAAGCGAATGCCTCAACGTACGATGCTCCATACTTTCCTCCTCCTCCTCCTCCTCCTCCTCCACCTCCTCTTCCTCCTCCTCCTCCCCCTCCCTCATCCCTGCTCTCCTCCTGCTCGTCCTCTCCAGATCCTCCGTCCGCACTCCTGGCAGGGGCATAGAAAAGGATAGGGACGCCTGGGCAGGAGCGGCAAGGGTCGCCCGCTGCAGAAGGGACCGACGCTCGGCGCTTGACAATTCTGTCCTCGAGTAGTCCGTCCTCCTCCTCCTATTCCTCCTTCTCCTCATCCCCCTCCCCTAGTCCTTCTCCTCATGCTCCTCCTCCTTCCCGCCCTCGACACCCTACCTCTCTATCCTCCTTCTCCGCCTCCTCCTTCTCCTCCTTCTTCTCCCCCCCTTTTGCCCTCCTCCTCCTCCCCCCTCCTGCTCCACCTCCCCCTCCCCCTCCTCCTCCTCCTCCTCCTCCTCCTCCTCCTCCTCCTCCTCCTCCTCCTCCTCCTCCTCCTCCTCCTCATTCTCCTCCTCCCTCTCCTCCTCTCTCTCCTCCTCCCCTCTCCTCCTCCCTCTCCTCCTCCCTCTCCTCCTCCTCCTCCTCCTCCTCCTCCTCCTCCTCCTCCTCCTCCTCCTCCTCCTCCTCCTCCTCCACCTCCCCCTCCCCCTCCTCCTCCTCCTCCTCCTCCTCCTCCTCCTCCTCCTCCTCCTTCCCCTCCTCCTCCTCCTCCTCCTCCTCCTCCCTCCGTAGCTTTGGCTCAAGCCATTTTGGCTCAAGTCGCAATCTGCGGGATCCCCGCCCCTCGAGGGGCAACAGCGCCGACTTCCGATAAGCCTGCTCCCGACGCTGCACCATACAGCGACCCGCAGGCTTCACTGATTTTGGCCACAATTACTTCCCTTTTCCCGCTCCCGCGCAGGCTGCCGCCATGGGCAAGGGTTCTTATTCTTGTTGCTCTAAGCGTGGCTGCCGTGGTTGGGAATGGGCTCCCAAGAAGTGGTGTTCTCTGTGTGGGTCCAGCCTCAAGCAGGATGATTCCATGGGTGGCAAGGCGGATGGCGATACTTTCCGTCCTAGAGGCCCGCGCAGAGGAGGCTCCCGACCACCACCTCAGGCCGCCGCCGCCGAGGCGGCAGAGGAGTCACCCAAGTCCCAAGAGGGACCGCCTGACCCAGTGGCGTTGGCTCAGGCACAGGTCTCTTTCTGGCGCAAGTGGGTGGGAGTCGACAAGAAGGAATATCACGACGCAGTTGAGTACCTCAAGCAAGCGAAGATGCAAGCGCTCAGGGGCAAGAGTTTGGACCAGCAGACTCAATCGCTCACGGGCCAAATCAATGCCATCAAGAGCAAGCTCGTCAGCTACGAGACCGAGCTCGAAGAATTGGAGGCCTCGATCGAGAAGATGGCAGAATAATACAAATCGAAGTTGCATGACCAGGCTGAGGCTCGTCAAGAACTTCAGATGCTGGAAGCGCAGCGTGCAGTGGCAGCGTCAGCAGCAGCACAGGAGGTGGCAGCAGACTCCAATGTGCAAGGTCTGCTCAGCGCCGCCCTTCAGTCCAAGATTCCAGAGGGTGGTTGCATCCCGCCCGCGCTCACGGCCAAGGTGCAGGAGGTCGCCGAGCTGTTCGACCAGCTGCAGCAGCAGCACCTGGCAGCCATGGGGGCGCAGGCGGGAGGCGACAGCGGCGGCATCGGGGAGCCACCGCCAGCGCCTGGCGCGGGTGCGGCAGGCCTCGGCGGATCGCCATGGCCTGGGCCCCCCTCCGCCGCCGCAGCCCGCGGCGTGCCCGCCGCAGAGCGAGATGCAGCAGAGACGATGTCGGTCGGCAGTGGAGAAGAAGTGGCAGCTCGAGAGCTACATGATGTTGAGATGCCCCACAGTTTTGCAGGCCATCGGCGCACAGCCGAAAGCCTGTCGCAGCTTTCCGAGCTCATGGCCTCCCAAGGCACCGACGACGAGAGGGCCAAGAAGGTGCGCGGAGCTGCGGCCGTTGTGCAAGCCGCGGCCTCAGGGGCGCCGACGCCGTCTCTTTAACAAGCTCGGCATCGTCACGTTCAACGGGAGCTGCTGGCCCACGCTCAAGCAGTTCATCAAATCTCGCGCTGCCTGTGACTGTTCTTTGATTTGTGTCCAGGAACACAAGCTCAGAGATGGGGATGTCATTTCGCAGCAAGTTCAGTGGTGCCAATCAATGGGTTGGTTGGCGCATATCTCACCAGCAGCACTCAACGACAATCAGCAGATTGTAAGCGGTGTTGCCATTCTAGTCAGAGCCAACCTCGACATTGGCATATCCAACATGAGTTTCAGGAGCACTGTGGACCGTAGTCGCTTAACTGGTCTACTTTTGGAGCTCCCTGGCCTACCTCGTCTAGGGCTCATGTGCGCGTATTTTAAAGCAGCTGGCGGGCTTGGAGAAGTCAACCTAGGCCTGTTAGCAGACATCGCCGTCCAGCAGGATCAGGAGCGGGTCCCGATCATCGTCGCTGGAGATTTCAACTTATCGCCGTCCAGGATCGAGAGCCTCGATTACCTCCACAGGGCCTCCCTTCAAGTGGTTACCCCATCGAGCCCAACCTTCCGTGTGAAGAAAACTCAATCGGTCTTGGATTATTTCATTATCAGTAAGACGCTCAGTGAATATGTCGACAAGGCCCGCACGTGGGCCAATTATCCGATGTCTCCCCACAGGCCAGTGTGTCTCGACCTCTCGGACTCCGACAGTTTCATGATCCCAGTGTTGGTTCGGCCGCAAAGACTGCCGTCAACACGACCGTTCGGGCCTCAGCCCCAGCAGCTGGCCTGGACTCAGAGTGCAAGCGCACTTGACTATGCAGATCAATTACTAGCTGATGCCGCCAAGCCTCTCAGCCAGAAGCAAAAGCAAGCAGTACTAGACGTCGTCTATTTCACGGTCGTCAAAGATTTGGAGCAGACTATCAGCCGAGCAACGGACACTCCGTTGAAGCACTCCTCTACTCCAAGAGCCAGCCCCCCTATCATCAAATGGGTAAGAGCCAAGCACAAAGTCGCTAAAGCTAGATCAAGCTGGAAATCCCTAGAAGCACCTCTACGTTGGCTACGCAATCGGCTAACGGACATCAACTACAGCATCCATCATCAAGATCATCAGCAACTAGTCTTCGGCGTCGCCGGGCTGCAGGATGCTCCTGAAGAGTTTCAAGAGGTCGAGAGCCTCAAGCAGGGGCTCCTCGCCTCCCAGCGGCTCGGCGAGCTGCTGATCTCCGACAGTGCGGCAGGTACGCTAGCAATGGGCACAGCCGACGACGCCATCGGGACCCTGATCGAGGACTTGGACAAGTCCATCGATTCGGAGAGGGGCAAAAGCAATCTGGCGGCCTCTAAGGCCTGGGCTTCCTGGGTACAGACCTCACTGCAAGGCGGCGTTGGCTGGGCACATCGCTGGACGCGTAATCTCGAGGCTTGGAAGCCCGCTTCTACCTTTCACCGCGGCCAGTGGTCAGGCAGGCCGTCGAGAATTCTGGAGGGGGAAGCTGAAAGACTTGCCAGCATCTGGGATACGGAAATGAGGACCCAACCCAACCCTGTTCCTGGTCATATCGACGATCGCGTCGCTCTGGGCCTTCTCACAGGTGAAACGGTGCAAGCAGCCGCCAAGAGCTTCCCCCCCAGAACAGCCTCGACCTGGGACGGTGTCCATCCGAGGCACTTCCTCTTGCTTCCGCAACTGCAGGCGGATCTCATAGCTCGGCTCATCCTGGTCATAGAATGCCTGGGGTTCATGCCGTCGCAGCTGCAAGCTATCATATCGGTCCTCATCATGAAGCACAAGCAACAGGATAAGACAGCAACAAAGCCAGCTATGAGATCCATAGGAATGATGTCAGGCCTTTATCGTACGTGGGCGCGCATTCGTCAGTCAGCTGCTCGTGAATGGGAGAGGCATCACAGGCGACCCTTTCTCGCCCACCAAGCAGGACATTCGATAGTTGAGCTCGTTTTCAAGCAGAATCTGGATTGCGAAACTTATTCTAAGAAGAGCGAAGCCTTTGTGTCTGGTATGGTTTTGTATGACCTCAGTAACTACTACGAGCACGTCAACAGAAGCAAGTTAGCCAAGCGAGCCCTTAGAAGTGGTTTCCCTGCTACCCTCTTAAGGCTCATCATCAGCATATACTCGAGTCCTAGGTTCGTCGCCCTCCAGGATATGATCGTCTATGTCGGTTGTACTAAGTACGGTCTAGCTGCAGGGTGTGGGTTTGCTACTTATCTCATCCAGATGTACACCCTGGAACCCCTGGACTCCTGGACCCACCAGAACCCCTCCCTCGACCTTTTCATGTTCATTGATGACCTCCTCTTGAAGTCTCACAGCCAGAAGCCCAAGGTCGTGGTCAGCAGCCTCGACTTGGGCACCCGCCGTTTGCTCGCCTGTATCAAGCAGGATTTGGACTGCAGCATCTCGCCAGCCAAGACGCAGATGGCAGCCTCGACCCCGCAGCTCAGATCTCTCTTGAAGAAAAAGCTAAAGGATCGTGCAGGCACCAACTTGGACATCTCAGCCCCCAATCTCGGAGTGGAAACTGCTGCAGGGGCCCCCCAGTGCAGATGGCGCAAGAACAGGCTGACCAGGACGAGGATGGAGCAGATCAAGAGAAGGATGAGGAGGTTGGGTGCCATTCAGAAAGGAGGAGGTGACACGAGGAAGGTTTACAACACGGGGATTTTCGCAGCAACATCCTTTGGACACGAAGTGACGGGCCTTAATAATTCGCAACTAGCTATTGCCCAGCAACATTATTTAAAGCTAGCAGGGCCCAAATGTGCTACTAGAAGCAGAACTTTAAGCTTAATCCTAGTGGGTGACCCCACCTGGAAGCTCGCCCTTGGACCTGCCATGCTGTGGCATATGCTTGTGTGGAGTGCCGCCACCAATTCGTGTCAATCGCTGGCCTCGCTGAGAGCTCTCAAGGCCCGCGGGGAGAGCCTTTTGGGCTCCACGCCTCAGAGGTGGGCGGCCGTTCGGGGGCCTTTCGGGGCCATGATTTTGTCTCTCAAACGAATTGGGTGGAGTCTGGCCTCCCCTCTCGTGTTTGTTTCTCGCAGCGGCCTGCAGTACCCTATGACCAGCTATTCTCCTGCGTTTGTACAGCAGCTCATGCAGGCCGACTGGATCAATGTTTTGAAAGAGAAGGCTGCGAGCAAGCTCGGTGCTCCAGGTGCTAGGCTAGACTCTGCAGCAGCCCTCGCTGCCTTGAAAGATCGGTCGCTCTCGAAGCAGGAGCGAGGCTGTCTCTTGACGTTTCTCACCCAAGGTTGCTGGACAAAAGCTCGAGCCAAGGATGCAGGCTATCCCGTCGACCCAGCCTGCCCCTGTGGTGCCGAGTCTGATGATATCAAGCACCGCGTTTTCGGCTGCGAGCTGTCTAGGAACGAGCGTGAAGAATGTTTCAGTCCAGCAGAGTTGGACACGCTGCAGTCGAGCAGCGACGAGCCTCTGATGCGTTTTGGTTTTCAGCGGGACCCTGAGTTTTCCGTGGGAGCCAGGCCCGGCCTCGGGATCGAAGACGTTGAATTCTGGTGCAGGGACCCAGATTTGTCTCTGCACGAGGCCTTCGTAGGCCAAGTCTACACCGACGGTAGTTGCGACAATTCACTACACCCAGCTTACCGTGCGGCTGGATTCTCTGTAGTTGCCCTGCGTGAAGACGAGCCATTCGCCATTCTCACGGGACAGGTGGGGCAGCAGTTTCGACAGACCTCAGGAGCTGCAGAGCAGCTTGCGATTCTTTTAGCTTGTCATGCATCGCCGTTGATAACTCATGTGCACACGGATTATAAAGCCGCTATAGACCTCCATCTGGCTCCTCGCTATCCTCGCAGGTCCCCGATGAGCGGCTTCAAGGTCTTGGCAGGCGCGTGCCGCGTCCGCCCTAGCAGTTGTTTATGCAAGGTGAAAGGCCACCAGAATCTCGAAGCCGAGTTTTCTTCCCCCGAGGAACGGACCCATGCCATCGGGAACGATGCTGCCGACAAGGCGGCAAAGCAGGCGGCCCAGAAGTTGGCCCAGCCCAGCAGGTCCGAGGTAGAATCCCACGCGAATCAAACCCAATTGCTCGGCCGATTTTTTCGTTACCTGGCTCGAATCCTCCCTAAGTGGCCCGCCTTGGCTCCTAAGAGAGGCAAGAAGGGCCTCGAGGCCCCCACGAGTTCCAACCCCCCCATCGGAGCCGCGTCCGCTCCTCATGTCTGGGGCCCTGGGACCGACCCTCTGCCTCCTCCGCTCCCTCCTCCGCCGCCTGCGGTTGTGTCAGAGGTTGCGGACGCGACTCACAATTGGGAATATATAAGGGGTAAATGGTTATGCACCGTTTGCCGAGTGACGGCGAAGTCTAGCCAATCTCAGATTGCCCGTCAGAATGAGAAGTGCCCAGGGCATTGTGCTGCTATGGCTAAGCTGGCCCAGGACCCGAAACGGCACAATCTCCTTTGGTTCGAATATCTAGACAATTCGTCAACCCTGATTATCTGCAAAGATTGCGGCTCTTATATGGAGCAAGGCAGGGGGCTAAATTCGGTGTGTCTACGTCAAGGGCCGCAGAGTACAGGTGCCGCCGACCGTCTCTCTAAGGTTCTCAGTTTAAGACACCCGAAAGGGGGGAAGAATTCACCAGTTGTTTTCAAACCCCCTGTCCCCCTGGCCCAATTTTACCGCCAGACTCTCAGGGATCTGGCAGCAGCATCAAGCTCTGCTGCGGGGGCTGCTTCCTCCTCCTGAAGAGCTCGGAGGCCCAGGCCTCTGTCTCCGCGCTGGGGCGCGGTGGATCTCAGACATCATCCCAAGCTGTGCGCTGGTCCTCCTCCTCCTCCTCCCCTCCTCCTCCTCCTCCCTCCCTCTCCTCCTCCTCCTCTCCCCCTCCTCCTCCCCTCCTCCTCCTTCTCCTCCTCCTCCTCCTTTTCCTCATCCTCCACCTCCTCCTCTCCTCCTCCTCCTCCTCCTCCTCCTCCTCCTCCTCCTCCTCCTCCGCCTCCTCCTCGTCCTCCTCTTCCTCGTCCTCCTCCTCCCCCTCCTCCTCTCCTCCTCCTCCTCCTCCTCCTCCTCCTCTTCCCCTTCCTCTCCTCCTCCCCCTCCTCCTCCTCCTGACCTCTCTCCTCCTCCTCCTCCTCCTCCTCCCCCCCCCCTCCTCCTCCTCCTGACTCTCCTCCTCCTTCTCCTCCTCCTCCTCCCCCTGCCCCTCCTCCTCCTCCTCCTCCTCCTCCTCCTCCTCCTCCTCCGCCCCCGACCTGGGCCTGGAACCTGGTTTCATGGTGGCCAGTGCTTCACTCGCCATGGGGCACACTATCAGGAGTTTGCGAGTACGGGCCCGGCGTAGGAAGGCGGTCGTCATTTTCGGCGGACAAAGATGAGTTTGGCTCCCCTGCATCCGCGTGCAGTGGGTCCGAACCGTGGCCCACTGCAGCGGCATCAGCTGCACGAAAGGACCGCGCATGTCCGCGGAGTGGCGGAGCCATGTGGCTCGTGAGACCCATGGGACCTTTGGGTCCACTCCCGGGCGGCGTTCCCTCGGGCGAGGCAGGGCCCTTGGGGGATCCTGTTTGCGCGTGCCCGTCGGCCAACACCCCATACTGGCCCCGCCGCTCATGTGCAGGAGCAAACGGCCTAACACCGTTGGCAGGTGAACAAGGCCAGTGCAGCCCCCGCGGAGTCGAGTGAACGATGGGCAGCGAGTCGCTAGGCGACAAGCCCCTGCCGAGTGCCGCAATCCATACGTCAAGCAGGGCTTGTCGTGTTCATCGTGGTATGATTTTTGCGCGCTTCAGCTCCTTCAGCTCCTCCCGATCCTCCTCCTCCTCCTCCTCCTTCCCTTCAGCCCTCCTCATTATGGTTCTGGTTCTGCGACATCTTGGCGAGTAATTGCGTTGAACGAGGACCCGTCCGAAAGAGTAAATGGGAGCGGGTACAAGTCCTGGACCCAGACACCGATCTGGCCGTGAGGTCCCTCTGCTTACGAGGTCGTGGTCTCGTCGGGGCCCGTCGACTCGCGCTTCGGGTACTTATTGGCGTGGCGCGACAGGTAGAAGTTGACGGCAGCACCCAGGTAACAGGTGGAGTAAGCTGAAGCTTGAGCCGTAAGCTACCTCCTCCTCCTCCTCCCTCCTCCTCCTCCCTCCTCCTCCTCCGCTCTCCTCCTCCTCCTCCGCTCTCCTCTCTCCTCCTTCTCCCCTTCCCCCCTCGCCCACCCTCGCCGCCCTCCTCCCCCTCCCGCCTCCCCCCTCCCCCTCCGCCTGCGGGCCTCGCCCCCTCGCGCCGCCGGCTCGTGCGGGCCGCTCACTTGGGCTTGGGCACCTCGGCAGCGCCCCGACCGCGGCTTGCCGCCGCCGCCGTCGCCCCGCCGCCACCGGTCCGTCGCTGTAGTCGGGTCGTCGGGTCGGCGTTGTCGTTGTCGTCGTCGTCCTCGTCGTCGTCGTCCTCGGCGTCGTCATAGGCGTCGTCGAAGCCGTCGTCGTCGTCGGTCGTCGTCGTCATCGGGGACGTCGTCGTCGTCGGTCTGGGAAACGTCGTCGTCGTCGGTCCGGAGTTGGCGTCGTCGTCGCCACAATCGTCGGCGTCGGCGTCGGCGTCGTCGTCGTCGTCGTCGTCGTCGTCATCGTCTGCGTCGTCGGCGTCGTCGTCGTCGTCGACGGTGTCGGCGTCGTCGTCGTCGTCGTTTTAGTCGCAGTTGCTGTCGCGGTCGTAGTCGCTGTCGGAGAAGGAAGATGAGGAGGATGGAAAAGGGCCGAGGATGACAGGAAACAAGGGATAATCGGTAGCAGGGGGAGAGCGAAGAGAAGGAGAAGGAGGAGGAGGTGGAGGAGGAGGAGGAAGAACGCCGAAGCCTGTGCTTAGGACGGAGGAGAGTAAAGGAACATGATCATGAGGAGGACGAGGGGACGAATGGGGGGAGGTGGATGAGGGGGGGCGATAGGCAAGGGCAGTAGGAAGAGGTCAGGGAGGATGAGACCGAGGAGGAGGAGGAGAAGGAGGAGGAGAAGGGGGAAGAGCAGCAGGAGGAGGAGGAGGAGAACGCAACATATTGATGATGAGGAGGGGGTGATGAGGGTAAGAAGGCATGGACAGAGAAGGAGGGGAATTGAGAGGAGGAGGGGAGGAGGAGGTGGCGTTGGATAGTGAGGGATAGGGACAAGGGGAGGTGAGGGGTGAGCGAAGTAGTACGCTGACGACGGCGAACGACGGGGACGACGTGCGACGAGGACGACGACGTCGACGTCGACGACGAAGACGAGGGTCTCCAGAGGCCCGCAGAGGAGCGGAAAACTATCAGAAATCTCTATCCTCGATCGATGGGCCCTCGGTTCTCGAGCGTCGACGATGATGATGCCCGCTCAACATAAGCAGAAACGTGTCCTTGTGGATCCCAAAACCGTGTGGTGACAGACCGTGCGGTGACCTCGGCATCCAAGAGGCCTCACCGCACGGTCCGTCACCGCACGGTCTTGGGACCCTGGAGGCCCTTGTCGCCCAAGACATCCTCGGAGATGGACTCGAGTCCCAAGACCCTGCGGTGACCCCGAATCCCCACCGACTCACCAGACGGTGTGGCCACCACCCCGTTTGGGGGCCACCGATCTCCGCTCGAGGGAACTCTCTGGACCCCTGCCGGGGCCCATCCTGGTATGCTCTCCGAGCCGCGGCCAGGCGCGGCCACGAGGACCTCCAGACATGCCCGCACACCCAGGAGACGACCATACTGGCGGCGGCCCCTGGACTTCAGTCGGGCCTGTCCCCCTGCAGGGGGATATTCGACGAAACATAAAAGAGACCCCCAGAATAATCAAGAACAAAAACCAAAAATAGTCTGGGTACCATTTTTTGACTTTTCTTGCCTCTTTGAAATATTTTTGGGGTTTGATTTTTCGTCGAAAATCCCCCTGTAGGGGGACACGCCCGACATAACCCTGGACGCACGAGGAGGGCCGAACGCGCCTCCAACCCTGGAGCGACGCCTCTTCGATCCTCGAGCGTCGACGACGGCCATGTTCGACGACAGTGCAGGACGACGAAGAACGTTCACGGCAACGACACCGACGACGGCGAGGACGGCGTCCGACGACGACGCTCGTCGTTCGACGACGCTCGTCGTTCGACGGCGCTCGACGACGGCGCTCGCCCTTCGGCGACGACTGCGGCGGCGCTCGCTTTCTGCCTCTGCCTCTCCGGCCGCTCTGCGTGCGTGAGGGTGCTGTCTGCCGCCTCCGGGGCGGCGGCCGTCGCGCGGGGTACGCCCCTCCGCCGCGCCGCCGCCACGCCCCAAGGGACCTCCGGGGATCCTCCTCCTCTTCCCCCCCCCTCCTCCCCCTCCTCCTCATCCTCCCCCTCCTCCTCCTCCTCCTCCTCCTCCTCCTCCTCCTCCTCCTCCTCCTCCAGGAGGCCTCCTGGAGGCCTGCAGGGCCTCCGGGAGGACTCGGGCCCCTCCGAGGGCGCCCAGGGACCTGGGAGCCCTCCCCCCCCGCTCCTGAGCCTCCCCCTTCTTGCCCTCGTCGCCGCCCTCCTCTCCTCGCCCTCCTCCGCCTCCTCCTCGCCAAGCCTGCCGCAGCCCGACTCCGCGGGTGCCCTGCTCCGCGCCTGCGCCCCGCGCGCCTGGCCAGGCGCGCCGGGGGCGGTTAGCACGGGAGGACCCCAGACCTCCGAGGGACCCAGCTTCCGGTGCTCCTCGAGGAAGGGAGGGGAGAACCCAGGGGCCCCATCCATCCATAGCTAAATCCCGAGGCTCCCATGGAGGAAGAGGATCGGGACAGAGCCCCCTCCTCCACCGCCTCCTCCGCCTCCTCCTCCTCCTCCTCCTCGCCTTCCTGCTCCTCATCCCCTCCCACCTCAGAAGGCCCCCTCCAGAAGGGACCTGCCACGCCGGCTGCCAGTGCAGCTGCTCTTCTGCCTCCACTCCACAGTGCTCCGCCTCCTCTTGCTGTCGGCCCTCCTGCCGCCCATACCGGTCCTGCTCCTCCCTCTTCTCCTCCTCCTCCTCCTCTTTCTCCTCCTCCTCCTCCTCCTCCTTCTCCTCCACCCTCCCCTCCGCCTCCTCCTCCTCCTCCTCCCCCTTCTCCCTCCTCCGCCTCGTCCCCTCCTCCTTCCTCCTTCTCCTCCTCTTCCTCCTCCTCCTTCTCCTCCTCCGCCTCCTCCGCCTCCGCCCCCTTCTCCTCCCTCCTCCCTCCTCCCCTCCTCCTCCTCCTCCTCCTCCTCCTCCTCCTCCTCCTCCTCCTCCTCTCCTCCTCCCCTCCTCCTCCTCCTCCCCCTCCTCCTCCTCCTCCTCCCTCCTCCTCCTCCTCCTCCTCCTCCTCCTCCTCCTCCTCCTCCTCCTCCTCTCGTCACTCCTCGTCGTCCGCCGAGCGCTCACTTCAGCTTCTTCTTCGGGCGCAGGTAGTTGGTGTGCCCGCACTTTTTCTTGCGGCAGTTCACGGCGCGCGCGGGGAGGCGCGCGTAGCACTTCCGGCAGATCATCTTGTCGCAGTTGTACTTGCGTGCCAGCACCTGACGAGGGGCAAGCCCTTCCTCTCCGCCGACGTCGCCGACGGGGTCCGAGGACCGACGACCGAGGTTCTCCGATGCCCTTGGCATTTTGGGGTGCTTGCGGAGGCATCTGGCGCGCTTCGGATACCGTCCAGAGGCCCTCTGGAGCCCTTCGGACAGCCCTTCGGACACCCTTCTCCTCGTATCGCCTGTTCTCTCGCCTCCTGCTCCTCCTCCTCTTCTTCCTCCTCCTCCTCCTCCTCTTCCTCCTGCACCTCTTCCTCCTCCTTCATCCTGTCGTCTCTTCCTCCCTCTCCTCCCCTCCCTCCCAAACTATCGCCCCCTATGGGGTGTAGCACTCGCCTTGCGAACACAAAGAATGGTCACTCCGCCTCGCCGCCCACGCCACGGCCAGAAGCTTCCAAGCGTCGTCGTCGTCGCCGTCGTGGCCGCTGTCGGCTTTGCCGTCACCGCCGCCGCCGCCGCCGGCGCCGCTGACGTTGTTGTCGTCGGCGGGGCTGTCGGCGTCGTCGTCATCATCGTCGTCGTCGTCGTTGTCGTCGTCTTCGTCGTCGTCGGCGTCGGCGCCATCGTCGTCGGCGTGTCGTCATCGTCATCGTCGTCGTCGTACTCGTCGTTGCCGTCGCCGTCATCGTCTGCGTCGTCGGCGTCGTTGTCGTCGTCGACGGCGTCGGCGTCGGCGCTCGCGTCGTCGTCGGCGTCGGCGTCGGCTTCGGCGGCGTCGGGCGCGTCGTCGTCGTATGGGTCGTAGCCGCCGCCGCCGCCGCTGCATCCGTCGTCGTCGGCGTCGTCGTCGTCGTTGCCGTCGTCGCCGCCACCGTCGTCGTCGTCGCCGTCGTCGTCGTCGTCGTCGTCGTCGCGATCGTCGTCGTCGTTGTCGGCGTCGTCGCGGTCGCCGCCGTCGTCGTCGTCGCCGTCGTCGACGTCGTCGCCGCCGCCGCCGTTGTCGTCATCGTTGTCGCCGTCGTCGTTTGTCGTCGTAGTCGTCGTCGTCGTCGTCGTCGTCGTCGTCGTCGTCGAGGGCGTCGTCGTCGTCGTCGTGGTCGTCGTTGCCGTCTTTGTCGTCGTCGTCGTCGGGGGCAACACCGCCGTCGTCGTCGTCGTAGTCGTAGTCGTCGTCGTCGTCGTCGTCGTCGTCGTCGTCGTCGTCGTCGTCGTCGTCGTCGTCGTTGTCGACGTCACCGACGTCGTCGTCGTCGTCGTCGTCGTCGTCGTCGTCGTCGTCGTCGTCGTCGTCATCGTCTGCGTCGTCGGCGTCGTCGTCGTCGTCGACGGTGGCGGCGTCGGCGCTGGCGTCGGCGTCGGCGTCGGCGTCTGCTTCGGCGGCGTCGGCGGCGTCGGGCGCGTCGTCAACGTCGGGGTCGTAGCCGCCACCGCCGCTGCATCCGTCGTCGTCGCCGTCGTCGTCGTCGTCATCGTCGTCGTCGTCGTCGACGTCGTCGTCGTCGAGGGCGTCGTCGTCGCCGTCGACGGGGGCGTCGCCCGCGTCGTGGTCGTCGCCGTCGTCGGCAGCGGCGGCGTCGTCGGCGTCGTCATCGTCGCGGTCGTCGCCGCGGCCGCCGCCGCCGCCGTCGTCGTTGCCGTCGCCGGCTTCGTGGTCATCGTCGTCGTCGTCGGCGTCGTCGTCGACGTCGCCATCGTCGTCGAGGGCATCGTCGTCGTCGTCGTCGTCGTAGTCGTCGTCGTCGTCGTCGTCGTCGTCGTTGCCGTCGTTGCCGTCGTCGTCGTCGTCGTCGTCGGGGGCGTCGACGCCGTCGTCGTCGTCGTCGTCGTCGTCGTCGTTGTCTACGTCGCCGTCGTCGTCGTCGGCGTCATCGTCGTCATCGTCGTCGTCGGCGTCGGCGTCGGCGATGGCGTTGGCGTCGGCGTCGGCGTCGGCATCGGCGTCGGCGGCGGCGTAGGCGTCGGCGGCTTCGCTATCGTCGCGGTCTTCGCCGCCGCCGCCGCCGACGTCGTCGTCGCTGGCTTCGTCGTCGTCGTCGTCGGCACCGTCGTCGACGTCGTCGTCGGCGTTGTCGTCGTCGTCCAGGGGCGCGTCGCTGGCGTCGCCGTCGTCGTCGGCGTCGTCGTCGTCGTCGATTGTCGTCGTCGTCGTTGTTGTCGTCGGGGGCGTCGCCGCCGTCGTCGGCGTCGTCGTCGTCGCCGCCGTTGTCAACGTCGCCGTCGTCGTCGTCGTCGCCGCCGTCGTCGTCGTCATCGTCGCCGTCGTCGTCGTCGTCGTCGTCGTCTTCGGTGTCGGCTTCGGCTTCGGCGCCGGCGTCGGCGTCGGCGTCGGCGTCGGCGTCGGCGGCGGCGGGGGCGTTGGCGGTGTCGTCGTCGTCGTCGCGGTCGTCGTCGCCGCGCCGCCGCAGTCGTCACCGTCGTCGTCGCCGCCGCCGTCGTCGTCGTCGTCGTCGTCGGCGTCGTCGTCGTTGTTGTCGTCGTGGAGGGCGTCGTCGTCTTCTTCGAGGGGGGCATCGCTGGCGTCGTCGTCGTCGTCACTTGTCGTCGTAGACGTCGTCGTCGTCGTCGTTGCCGTTGTTGTTGTCGTCGTCGTCGTCGTCGTCGCCGTCGGGGGCGTCGCCGCCGTCGTCGTCGACGTCGTTGTCGACGTCGCCGTCGTCGTCGTCGTCGTCGTCGTCGTCGTCATCGTCGCCGTCGTCGTCGTCGGCGACGTCGTCTTCGTCGAGGGCGCCGGCGTCGTCGTCGTCGACGGGGGCGTCGCTGGCGTCGTCGTCGTCGTCGGCGTCGTCGTCGTAGTCGTCGTCGTTTGTCGTCGTAGTCGTCGTCGTCGTCGTCGTCGTCGTCGTCGTCGTGGTCGTCGTCGTCGATGCCCTCCTCGTCTGTCGTCATCGTCGTCGTCGTCGGGGGCGTCGACGCCGTCGTCGTCGTCGTCGCCGTCTTCGTCGTTGGCGTCGGCGTCGTCGTTCTCGTCGCCGTCGTCGGCGTCGTCGTTGTCGTCGTTGGCGTCGGCGTCGGCGTCGGCGTCTGCTTGGGCGGCGTCGGCGTCGTCGGGCGCTTCATCGTCAACGCGGTCGTCGCCGCCGCCGCCGCTGCCGCCGTCGTCGTCGCCGTCGTCGCCGTCGTCGTCGTCGTCGGCGGCGTCGTCGTCGTCGTCGTCGGCGTCGTCGAGGGCGTCGTCGTCGTCGTCGACGACGGGGGGCGTCGCCCGCGTCGTGGTCGTCGTCGTCGTCGTCGGGGGCGTCGCTGCCGTCGTCGTCGTCAGCGTCGTCTTCGTCGTCGTCGTCGTCGACGCTGTGGACGTCGCCGTCGTCGTCGACGCTGTGGACGTCGCCGTCGTCGTCGTCGTCGGCGTCGGCGTCGTCATCGTCGCCGTCGTCGGCGTCGTCGTCGGCGTCAGCATCGGCGTCGGCGCCGGCGTCGGCGTCGGCGTCGGCGTCGGCGGCGGCGGCGGCGTCGGCGGCGTCGGCGTCGTCGCGGTCGTCCTCGGCGCCGTCGTCGTCGTCGGCATCGTCGTCGCCAGCTTCGTCGTCGTCGTCGTCTTCATCATCGTCGTCGTCAGCGTAGGCGTCGTCGCCGTCGTCGACGGGGGCGTCGCCGGCGTCGTCGTCGTAGTCGTCGTCGTCGGCGTCGTCGTCGTCGGCGTCGTCATCGTCTTAGTCTAAGTCGTCGTCGTCGTCGTCTTCGTCGTCGAGGGCATCGTCGTCGTCGTCGACGGGGGCGTCGCCGGCGTCGTCGTCGTCGTCGTCGGCGTCTTCGTCGTCGTCGTCGTTTAGTCGTCGTTGTTTGTCGTCGTAGTCGTCGTCGTCGTTGCCGTCGTTGTCGTCATCGTCCTCGTCGTCGGGGGCGTCGCCGCCGTCGTCGTCGTCGTCGTCGTCGTCGTCGTCGTCGTCGTCGTCGTTGTGGACGTCGCCATCGTCGTCGTCGGCGTCGTCGTCATCGTCGCCGTCGTCGGCGTCGTCGTCGTCGGCGTCGGCGTCGGCGTCGTCGCCGGCGTCGGCGTCGGCGTCGTCGCCGTCGCCGGCTTTGTCGTCACCGTCGGCGGCGTCGTCATCGAGGGCGTCGTCGTCTTCGTCGTTGGGGGCGTCGCCGGCGTCGTCGTCGTCGGCGTCGTCGTCGGCGTCGTCGTCGTCTTAGTCGTCGTCGTCGTCGTCGTCGTCGTCGTCTGTGAGGGCATCGTCGTCGTCGTCGTTGTCGGCGTCGTCGTCGTCGGGGGCGTCGCCGCCGAAGTCGTCGTCGTCGTCGTCGTCGTCGTCGTCGTCGTCGTCGGGGGCGTCGCCGCCGTCGTCATCATCGTCGTTATTGACGTCGCCGTCGTCGTCGTCGGCGGCGTCGGCGTAGTCGTCGCCGTCGTTGGCGTCGTCGTCGTCGGCGTCAGCATCGGCGTCGGCGCCGGCGTCGGCGTCGGAGTCGGCGTTGGCGGCGGCGGCATTGTCTGCGGCGTCGTCGTCGTCGTCGCGGTCGTCGCCACCGCCGCCGCCGCCGCCGGCGTCGCCGTCGCCGGCTTCTTCGTCGTCGTCGTCGTCTTCGTCGAGGGCGTCGTCGTCGTCGTCGACTGTGGCGTCGCCGGCGTCGTCGTCGGAGTCGTCGACGTCGTCGTCGTCGTCTTAGTCGTCGTCGTCGTCGTCGTCGTCGTCGTCGCTCCCCCCCTGGGCGCACCGCGAGCGACGGCTCGATCACCCCGCCGCGGAGGCGCAGGACGAGGTGGAGCGTGGACTCCTTCGGGGGGGAGAGGGGATGAGCAGGGGCGGGGAGCAGGGGCGGGGAGGGAGGAGGCGCAGGAGGCGGAGGAGGAGAAGGAGAGAGGGAGGATGAGAAGGATGAAGGATTAAGAGGGGTAATTGGGCGGAGGAGGAGGAGGAGGAGGCGCAGAAGGCGGAGGAGAAGGACAGAGGGAGGAGGAAGGAGGATAGTGGGATAGGGCGGAAGGACGCAGTGCCCTCCTCATTATCCTCCTGACATGAGGAGGACGACGAGAAAGGAGAAGGATCTGGAGGAGAAGTGCGCGGAGAGGGCGAGACATTGGAAAAAAGGCGAACGATGGAGGAGGGAAAGGGGAAGTGAGATGTTGGAGGACAAGGAGGGAAGGGAAATGGGCACGGGAGGAGACGGAGGGAGGGATATTCGTGGTATATTCCTTGAGACGTCGAGTGGCGAAACGCAGCAGGGGCCTTCGTATAATAGCAGCATCTGCAATTGCTACGAAACTCAGGACTACGCTGAAGAAGGAGGATGGAGAGAGGGCGGATATGGAGGAGCAGAAGGAGGAGGCAATGACGGAGGGAGGACGACTCCTTCTGGATGTTGTAGTCGCTGAGCGTGCGGCCGTCCTCCAGCTGTTTGCCGGCGAAGATCAGGCGCTGCTGGTCGGGGGGGATGCCCTCCTTGTCCTGGATCTTGGCCTGCGAGCCGCCCCGTCTTCCTCCGCCTCCTCCTTCTCCTGCCCCTTCGGGCCTGCGGGCCCCCCTGGCGCGCTTGCCCCGACCCGCGGGTCACGCACTCGGCCCTTTTTTGACGCTTGTCAGACTTTGAGTGGGACCCGCAGAGTCGTGCAACATGACTACTATGGATAAGACAAAAGTCCCTGAGAGGATCAACCGCAATTCGCCATACATGGTCAACAGAGCGCCGAAGGGTGAGAAGAGTAGACGATACAACGTGGAGAAAGGAGGCGCTCAAAGGGAGCTTCGCCAGGATGCCCTGACAGAGCATGCACGCGCAAGGTTGCCCCCACCCACCTCCACCATCCTCACCCCCGATCCCTCCCCCGACGAGGGCCTGCCCTTACCGAGGGCAGCTGGGAAGTCCCACCAGCCCCCTGGGCGGAGGCAGTCTAGTGCGTTTCTTGTTCCCTATTCGTGATCGAACTCCTCTCCCGACCCTCTCCCCTGGACCTCGCCGCACCCCTTGCAGAACCCCGGGAAGCCCCCTGCAAACCCGAGTTCATGACACTGCAGAACTTGGCAACACCCTGCAAAACGACCCTGCAATACCGTGCAATGCCCTGCTAACCATATTCCTGCAATATCCTGCAATCGCATGCACCCGACCCTGCAATACCCTGCATTACCATGCAAGACCCTGCAGTCCTCCCACCAGCCCTTCGGGCTAGACTGGCTTGAACCGTTTCCTCTGTAGATTTCAAATCCCAGCAACCCTCTGGGACTCAGTGTTTTAACCAGCTCTTCGCCCTCTGGGCTTGCGTGGTTTAGCGAGTTCGTTCGCTCTTCAAAGAACAAATCCTCTCCCTACCCCCTCCCCTGGACCTCGCCGCACACCCCTCCAATACCTTACAAAGCCCCTCCTGCAAAGCCGATTCCACGACCCTGCAGAACCCTGTAACGCCATGCAAAAAGATCCTGCAACATACACTGCAGACAAGACCCCATGCAATACCCTGCAAACCGACCCTGCAAGATCCAGCAATACCATGCAAAGGCCGTGCAGTCGTCCCACAAGCCCTCTTCTGGACTGCAATGATTTGAAGTGTTTCCTTCTTGAGCTCCGTACTCCCACATGCCCTCTGGGCGTAGGTGTTTTAACGAGCTAGCCCTTGTCAACTTCTAACGCCAACCTTTCCTAACCCTCTACCCTGAACCTCGCCGCACCCCCTGCAATGCCCAGCAAAGCCCCCCCCGCCCCGTTGCAAAGACCATTGTAAAACGACCCTTCTCTCTGCTGGACATCGCCACCGTGCCTCTGGCGCGAACTGGAGTGCCTCAAGGCTCGTGCAGCCCTGAGATGTAAAGCTTCTGCCAGTTTCTTCGGGAGGGGACACAAGCTCTGGGGGAGTAGCTCTCGGTTGGAAGAAGTAGGTAGGAAGATGAAGTAGGAGGGCGTTGAAAAAAGGTTGGGTGTCCGCCCACCCGAGAAGAGGACAGAAGAGGTGAAGCCACTCGATCATGGAAGTAGGAAGGCGCTTGAAGCAGCTTGGAATCTGGGGCTCCAAAAATACAATTTTTCTTCTCAAATATAAGGGCCGGTGGCAATGACGAGTTAACAACCAATGACGTGCCCAAAAATCGCAAGGCGCACGTGATTGAAATCGACCTGATACGCGTCTAAGCTCCGTGAGCCACCACGTAAACTCAAACGACGAGAGACTGAATAGGAGCTGAAGGGACGAAGACCTCGCGTGCCGTCGAAGCTGAGACATCTCCAATGTCAGGGGCTCCAAGAATACCTGCTCTCAACGACCGATGGGTAGCGAGCTCCGGGGAGCTCGGGCCCGCAGTCTGCCGGACACTTCCGGGCGCGCCGGGGCTCACACGGCTGCTGGGCAGAGGGCGCGCGGCCCTTCCCGGCCGCCGCCGCTGGGCGGCGGGGGGCCGGAGGGCCGCTGCATGGCATCGGCGACTGCCCGCCGCGACGCGAGAGCGGCAGCTGGCGATTGGGCTCCTGCTTGGCGGGCCCCCGCCGAGCGGCGCCTATAGGGCCTGCCCGGCCCCCGCGCGGCAGGGGCGCATAGTGCGGGTGCTCCTCGCGCACGTGCGGCGATATTCGGAGAGCCCTGCGGACTCTGCGAGGGCGGGTGGCCGGGCGAGCCCGGGTGGCCGCCGGCGGGGGTTGTCCCCCGCCCGGCGAGCCGCCCGAAGCGCCGGCCCCCCGAGGCGAAGTGGGTGCCGACCAGTCCCGCCCCCAGCCCACATCCCCGGGCGTCGCCTGGATTGGGGGCCGGGGTTATGTTGCTCCCATCGTACTGAAGGACACCATCTCAGACATCATGTCGAGCACCCAGAGGAGTATCGGAACAGTGTCGAACGAGTATCGCCTCCCAGGGCCCGACACGCGAAAACCCTCCAGTCTCGGTACCTCATTGGTGCTCGAAATTCTTTCTGGTGGTCAAGGCTAAAGTAGGTTGGAGCATCATAAGTCTGGGGATCTGGGACCGTCAATCGGGAGTCTCTGGGCGATCGAACCCGGCGCTGGAGAGCGCGAGGATGGCCGGGCCTCGGATCTACCGCCGCCCGCCGATGGGGCGCAACGTCGACGCCTCCCCCCGACGTCGTATTTTTGTTCACAACGTCGACCCCCAAAGGTCTGGGCCCCTTCCCCGGGGAGGGTTCCGCATCCTAAACCGTTTTCTGACGGCTCCGGGGCCCGGTGAGGCCGAACATAGCGAAAACCCACCCGTCGTGATTTTTGTTCGCAGCGCGAGGGGGTCTAGGGTTGTGGAAGCCACGACACTGGACACCCTGACAGTCCTATCATCGAGTTAAACATGTGTTTAAAACGTCGGGAAAATGTCTTCAACGTGTTTCAAATATGTTTTTGCATGTTTGAAACATGTTTAACACATGTTGCAGACATCTGGAAATTATTTAATCGCTTCGCTCATTCCGCCGGCCCATACAGTCTCATGTCTGCCGTTTGCCCGAGGGCCTGGTGTCAATGCGGCGCTTTGGGGGTTCCTGGGGCCGCTTGGGGGACTCCTGGGGCGCTCGGGGGGGCATTTGGGGGGCCTCCTGGGGCCGCTTGGGGGACTCTTGGGGGCCTCCTGAGGGCCCCGTGGGGGCCTCTTGGGGCCTCTTAGGGGCCTCGTAGGGGCTTCTTAGGGCCGAGGGCTCGAAATGTTGTTTCGTGTTCCCTCTCTGGGGCCCCTTTGGGGGCGTTCTTGGGGCCCTCTTGGACCGTTTTGGAGGCTTCTTGGGCCGTCTTCGAGCCCTCTTGGGCCATCTTGGGGCCCTCTTGGGTGCCTCTTGGGCCCTCTTGGGGCGATCTTGGGGGCCTCTTGGGCCGTCTTGGGGCGTCGGGAAGCCGAAAAGGTGGAAGCTCCAAAATCTCTCAAAAACCTATGGAAAAACAATGATTTTTGCCTCCGGGGGCCCTATTGGGAGTGCTCTTGGAGGCCTCTTGGGGCGTCTGGGGGCTATCTTGGGCGTCTTGGAGCGATCTTGTGGCATGTCGGACCCCTCGTGTACCATCTTGGGGGCCTCTTGGGGGCCTCTTGGCCTTTCTTGGGGCTCTCGGGGACGTCTCGGAGCCCTGTTGGTGCGCTCATGGAGCGCTCGGGGGGACCCGGCCGGGACCCGGCCGGGACCCGACCCGGCCGGGACCTGGTCGGGGTACTTTTCGTCCGGGGACCCCCAGGGGCCGCCCCGCGCGCGCGAACTAGAAAATTGTTAACCAGTTACCGGAGATCTTAGCACGCCTCTGGCCCGTTGGGCCGGCGAATTTGGCAACATGCTTCCTCTCCATTGGTCGTCCTCCACGAGTCCAGGGCCTCTGTGCCCACCGCGACCTAATCAGCACCAGGCAGCGCGGCTCGAGGACGAGCGCGCCCGGCCGACGTGCTGCCGGCAGGCCGTGGGGGCCGCCGCCAGGGTGTCTCTCTGCCTCTCGTCCACCTATGCGAGGGGGGGCGCCGGCCGCGCAGCTGCAGCATCTCGGCGCGCTCTGCGCGCCCCCCGGTTGGCTCTTGCGCCAGTCCCATCTCAGTTTCCATCATTGGAACTGCGGGGGTCGAACCAAATCCCCACAAACCTGGCACCGTACGTGCAGTGCCAGGGGCGGCAGCCCGTCTTCCCATCTTGCCATCATCGGGGGATGCGAAGTCCCTGAAGCCGGGACGGGGTGGGCACGAGCGGGCATCATAGCCGGCTCAAAATCAAAAGAGGCATCATAGCCTCATCAGTCTAGATCGATCCACTCACGGATCCACTGCAATTGATTCCCATTGAAGTCATTCCATGCGTAGCATGCCCTCCCCTCGCGCCGTGCACAAGAAAAGCGCGACGGGGGGTGCTTCGCTACTCTCGGCCTCCATGGGGCCCCCGCTGGACCTCGGGGCCGCCAAAAAACGACTCGGGACGAAAAACCGGCCCCGGGGAAGGGGCCCCTTACCAGCCTCGAACGTATCCCTATCCCTAAGATTGACACGCCAAAAGGCGATGACAATCTTAGGGATGTGCCCTCAAAACATAAGGAAACCCCTAAGATTGGCATCGTGATGAGGAGGTGCCCAGCATAGGGATAGGGATATGTTCCAGGCGGGCAAGCCCAGACCTCCATAGGGGGCCGACGCTGCGAACAGCATCACGCCGTCGGGGGTCGGGGGCCTTCGCCAGTGCCGCGGCGGCCGTGGCCCTGGGCGCGAGGCCGCCCCCGGCGCGGCCAACGCCACCGGGGGAGATCCACGGGGCCCACCTCGACGGGGGTCGCCTGCGCCGACTGCCGGGCTGCCTTGGGCGGTTGCGCTTCGAATCCCCGCGGGCCCCGCCGCCCCGTCGCAGCCCAGAGGTGGCTGTCGGGGCCATGGCAGGCGAGGGGCGCGCCGTGGCAAGGGGCCGCGCCCACGCGGGCGCGGCAAGAATTAACGAGGCTGCGACCGAGCCGGACTTCGACGCCGAGATCACGCCCGCGGCCCCTGCGGCGAGGACATCTACTTCTGCATCAGCGCCGA